ATGCTAAAGACAGCTATAGAAACGAAACGCGATAAAACTTTATCTAAAGTTATTTATTATATTCAACGTGGTTGGCCTGCTAGAATAACAGACGAAGATTTACGCCCATTTTGGCTTCATCGTGCAGAGTTATCACTACAAGACAACTGTATATTATTGGGCTGCCGTGTATTAGTACCAAAATTAATGCGCCATAAAACTTTAGAAATTTTGCATAAAACACACACAGGGATAGTGCAAACAAAAGCACTTGCAAGGAGCTATGTGTGGTGGCCAAATCTTAATGAAGATATAGAGACGCTGGTAAGAGGCTGTCCGAAATATTTGGAGAATCGCCATATGCCTCAAAAATCTAGTCATGAATGGATTACACCCACAAAACCATGGTCAAGGATTCATATTGATTTTGCTGGACCACATCATAAAAGATCATAGTGGATGCATACTCACGCTGCCCAGAATTATTTATGGTAAATAACACTACCTCATCGATAGTTATAAGACTTTTAAGAACAACATTTGCAACACATGGCTTATGTGAAGTGATGGTTTCTGATAATGGACCATCATTTGTCTCTAAAGAAATGAATGAATTCCTAAAAGCTAATAACATACGTCATATAACTACAGCACTGTACCACCCATCTACAAACGGGTTGGCAGAGAGAATGGTACAGATAACCAATGTGTTTTATTCTATATTCTGAACATATCAACCCCCCACCTAATGACTCTTTTCCAATGATGTTGTACTGAGCGTACCTCTCTCCCTGGAGTCTCCACGGTTTAATCCTTCCATCATCTGGCTTCAGGCAAAATTTAGATTCATCTGTGAATATAACATGACTCCAAGCTTCACCTATGCTACTCAGGCAGGCAAGTGAGAATTTATTCTGGCCGATTTCAGTCCTTTTGTCACAGTTTTTGTGCTTACTGTAACTCCTCGAACTTCTTAAAGCTTCGTTATTACCTCAGAAGAAGTTAAGGTCCGGTTTCTAAGTATGCTGGTGGTATGGCTGCTAAGTATGCTGGTAACGATGGATCAGGCATCTCTGGCCACTGTTTACGTCCCTGTCCTGCGAGTCTCATATATTGTCTGGTCTCCCGATACGTCTTGACAACTCGGTGTACCATAGATTTTGATAATCGTAATATTTGGGCCACATGTTTGTAGGTGTGCCTTTTTTACATGGGGAAATGCCTACGCATACCCGCCTCACAGGGGCAAGGACGGGTTATGTCGGACTCGCACCGACTAAAACCCCATGGTGTTCCATCTTCGCCGCATATTGGCAACGCTTTCGCACCATCCGCGGCCCCACCAGCGCTGGCCGCCTCATGGCAGCCCCTTCTCGGGGTAGGACTTCTCCTTCTCAGGCAAGGCGCATCAGGAACACAAGACACGCCTTCTTCCACGGCCTCCAACTCCACCTTCGTAACGGGCCCCCCCGAGTCCGATACGTAGCAACCGCTTCCTCTACCCCAGCGGCGCATCTGGTCTCTGGCTCCGCCGTCAACCAAGTTTCGGCCGCGGAGGGTAGGGAGAGCGGCGCCTCGCAATACCGACACTGTTCTCCCCTCGCGGCCCTACCACCACCGCATCAACGGCGCGGCTCCGTCAGAGTCGCGGAGGATAGGGCGAGAGGCGCATCGCCATACCAACACTTCTCCTCTTCCGTGACCACCTTGGGACACACATCCGAAGCAGGCTTGCCAAGCCCACTCGGAGTGGCCACCTCGGGCCGGCCGTACACCACGGGCCAGCTAAGGGGTTCCTCTTTGTTCACCGTGGGTGACCCAGCCACGGCTACTAAGCCCCCCCGCCACGTCTAGGCGGGAACACGTTCGGGGGGGTTTGGGGTGGTTGTAGGTGTGCCTAGTTTCAATTAAAGTAACAGCAACTTGAGTGGCGTTTAGATCTGGCATTTTCAGTTTATTTGCAGTAACAATTTACACTTGACACGATAAACAAAGCAGTTAAGGCAACATTTTAAATTAAATAATAAAATTTTAATTTTAACAGTATGAAAGTACGCATTATTATGCAATAATTACATAAAAACAACACAATCTATATTTAGATACTATACTGATTAACACTTCTACATTTAGATTTGAGACTGACTAACAAGCTTCAATTTCGTGTGGAAAAATTTCCATTACAGTTTATTTACTAACCGATGTTGTTTACTCAAGGCAAATTTTATTTTTTTCATTGTCTATTTTAAGTAAATCTTCCGATGCTTTATCTATTCTATTCTATTTATCTATTATTCTATTCTATATAGTTATGATTCTTTTTTAATATATTAGAATTAAAATAAATTAAAATAATTTTTAGAATTAGAATCTTCAAAATCTTAAAAATGTTGTATTTAGTTCGCAAAATTCTTCGCAAAATGCTGATAGTGCATCAGCGAAGTTTTTGGCGAGATTTCGATAACAGCTTAACACAGCGGACTATAAATGATGATAGTGTCAAGGTGTCTAAGCGGAAAAAAAACTTAAAATTTATGTCATCATCAAAGGACTACGTAGGTCACTCAATAAGTTTTGAGATATACAAAATATTAATTTATCTTCAAAATATCCTCCATCATGCTCTATACAAAGTTCCATTCGCCTAAACCAACTCTGAAAACACTTTTGCCAGTCTTGATCTGACAGGTCGGAAATCGCTTCTTCGCAGGCAGCCACGGCTTCTTCGGCGCTTAAAAAAAACTTGCTTTTTAAAACCGGGTGTGTTTCGTCTCAAAACTTCAGCTTCAGCAGAGACTTAAGCTGTAATTTTATATACGTATACTTGGATATATAGGGTCTTTATAAAAAAAGTTTTTATTTTATTTCATTGACCCTAATAGATAAAATACAATTATATAAAGTTTTGTGGTCAAAATTTCACCACAATACGAGTAGATATCAAATTCAAGACATATTTTTATTGACCACAGGTAAAGTAGGTCTTGAGAACTATTTAACATATCCATGCTATTTTATAAAAAAATAAAAGTTTTGAGAAAAATATATTTAGATTTTTATCTCGCGATGTATTTTGGATCCGTCCGTATCTAAAAAGCATTTTTTTTAAATAAACATAGTAATGTCTGAAGATCTTAATGCAATAAATACCTTGACATCGGCAAGCTGGTAAGAGTTAAATCTCTTGTTAGAAAAGTGTATAAATCTTAAACTATATTGGTTATTTTTTTGTTTAATTAACTAATATAATATAGTACTATTTACGAAAAATTTGGAAAAGCATACAAGCATTCCAAAAATGTATAATACTTGTATAGGTACTTATATGGAAAAATTTCAAGCAATGTGGCATTGAATCGTAATAACGTATTTCGTCACAACATCTTATCGAACATGACTAAGATTTGATGCTCATTCATACTTATGTTAAACTTACAAAACAAAATAAAAATACCGGGTAGAGTTTCGTTCTTGGGACACCTCCGATTTGGACCAAAATTTTTTTACATGTTCACCAACATAAATTATGAAAAACCTCAAAGGGATTTTTGGCGCAAATGCCTCTGAAATGTTTTACGAGGGTTTGAAGTTTTAGATTTTTAAGGCAGTTTTTCATGATAAATCGATTAAACCTCACTTTTTTACACAGGAATATTGACCCAAAGTTACTACTACTTACTATTATAATAAAAGTGTTTTATTTCTGAATTGTTTAAAACTGCCCAGAAATACTTGAACACTCAGATATACCTTCAGTTGTAATAGGTTAGAAGGTTGTGGCGAAAGCGATGGCAACCTGACTTTATAGATAAGATATCTGATCTGATCGAATCTATACTAAAATTGAATCAGCACGCCCCGACTCCACGTAGTCTTGTCTGCTCTACTCCTAGAAAAACTGAGACTGTTTTTGTAAAGCCGTGGGCGCGGAGGGAGAGCAGTCCCCGAGCGCCGTAGCAAGTTGCAAGCACCTGTGCGAGCTGTAGCGGCTGAGGCTGGTCGCCGAAGGCGACCAATAAACCGAAGCTGAGAAGGTGAGCATGGGTGCCTGTGATTCGCTACGCAAGGGCGAAGGGGCTGCGCTTTTCGCAGCGCCGAAGCCGTTGTATAAATAACTTTGGATCCATATTCCTGTGTAAAAAAGTGAGGTTTAGTCGATTTATCATGAAAAACTGCCTTAAAAACCTAAAACTTCAATCCCTCGTAAACAATTTCAGGGGCATATGCGCCAAAAATCCCTTTGGGGTTTTTCATCGTTTATGTTGGTAAACATGTAAAAATACTGGTGCAAATCGGAGGTGTCCCTAGAACGGAACTATATCCAAAATACCTAAACAGAAACTTTATTTATAATAGTACATTAATTTATAATTTTCATCACGTAACCCCGACTTTCGTTAAAAACAGTTATGAGACTGCTTTATGGGGCTTTCCCATAGTGCGGCGGTCAAGTTCCCGCCAAAATTCCTTCAGAATATTGTAAGCGTGGAGTTTGTAAACCATTAAACCCACACAAATAGCTGCTATGGTTATTTTGGTCATCAAATTATTATATCGCTATAGCACAGAATAGGCACGTACGTTATTTGTATCGGAGACTACGAGATCTGCTCTTGGCTCTTAGTGGCATCTTACAATGGTGAAGTAGAACCCTGCGGTGGCTGCCGCTAAGTGAAATTATACAAATTTAAATTTTATGCCTTTATAAAGTTACTGTTGGTCATTAAAAAAAAATAAGAAGAAATATATGAAAGAATATTAATTAAGAAACAAATATTGTATTTTGATAAATGAGACTAGTTTAGGTGTCGTTATGGACCACAACAGCATTCATTCGCCATCAAGAGAGCTGACTACTCATTTGTCACTTTTAGATATTATAAAGAAAGTTTATAACCTACTAATAACTGCAAATTGCTGCATAGTTAGTTAATATATAGTAATCTACTAAATGAACTTATAATAATTTTATTATAAGTATTATTCAATATTTACACTCCTTATTTTATGTATTCTAACAGAAGTGTCTTTCGAAAGAGCCGTTTATCCACTTGAGGTGGCTATATTTGAGACCTACAATCCGGGCGCGCTAGTTCGCATCTGGGCCTTGGGATCGGCTGCGTGGATCTTACTTTGGGAGGGTGAGCCGAAGTACGCTGGTGATATGCCGAGAATTTTCAGTCCACCTATAAAACAAATAAATTTTCCAACCAGGTATTTATTTTAAGATTGTTCTGTGTAAATATAAATCCTCGAATTGTAAGAAAATAGTTACAGTTTTCCTCTTTTGATTTTATGTCGTTTATGTGACCAAGAACGTCAACGGATGATAGTGGCACAGAATTGTGTGAACTCTTTGTTTAGTAGAGTACTTGAACTGCAATATTCTTGATGATAATAATGTAAAAAAAAAGTAACATCTATCTCTTCTTTTTCTTTATGGCGGTTTTGATGCATTCGTTAATGTCAGCGTGAAAGTGTTAATAAATTAACTTTGTAAGTTAAGAATAATTCAGTAGACACTAATATAAAGTTCAATTACCGTAACCGTTACAGCCTATTGAAGTCCACGGCTGAACATCGGCCTTCCCCATAGATTGCCTCATAGGATATTTGTCATAGTAGCCACGCTTGGCATGCAGTTATTTTTATTTTTAGTCGTTATTAGAAAGGCGCTGCTGCCCATGTCCTGATTTGTTTCCCTCTGTCGCCTCTTACTACACCCATGGGACGATATGTGGTAGTGGATATTACATCGCCACTACACGGTAATGTCGAAGAATAGAATAGAAATGTCGGTAGAATAGAATAGAATAATTTTTTATTCAATATTGATTATTACATAATTCTTATTGAAAATCATTTTTTATTTACCACTGGTTCGGAAAATACCTCAGTCCTGGGAAGAACCAGCAAGAAACCCAGCGGGACTTTTTTTTTAAACATAATTTCACTTAACAATAATTTTGTTTATACAATTTTTAAATGATTTTTCTTAGAACCAGCATGGTGGCGATCACCCTATTCCCAGGGGTTATTTTCATTCATGTATTCCTTGATATTATAATAACCCTTTTTGTACAGTTTTTCTTTAATAAAACTTTTAAACTTGTTTATTTACGTCGACAATATAAAATAATATCCAATATTTGCGTGAAATAACGTATTATTTAGTATCTTTATCTCCTTTATCAGCTTGTGACAGTCCCCGTTGGGGATATAGTATAGCTTTCGAAAGTAGTCAGATGTAGTCGCCTTTAGCACAATAAATCAGAAGGAAAATTAGAAGGGCAAAGTAGTTGACAAGGCGTATATTTCACAGGATTCTTCGTCTGGAATTCAACCATCGGTTATTGCCGTATTATACAGAGCTGGACGCTATATTGCTGCGAGGAAGAGAACCTGCAAACATGAACAAAATGAAAAACAATTTCGCTTATTCTTCATTATTTTACCAGAAAACACAACCGCCCATCCCCAAAGGTATGTTGAAGGAAGACGTAAACCATAAAATTATTATTTCTTACATTGTTAATCAGTAAATTATGAGATCATGTTTGCACATATAGATTACTCTTAACTATATTTTATTTGCTCCTACATTTCGTAATTTTTTTTTATACTAGGTATGCTTGTTTTATTAAAGAAAGAAGATTGAATTCTTGTGTGATTCTAAAATTGTTTTCTTATTAAGTTTTCATTACACATTTATTAAAAAACTGGAGAAATATTTGCCCGCCCTGAAGCGCACTAGCGCTGTATTATTTTTAACTTTATTTTCTGAGTTAAAACAATTTTTTTTAATAGAATTAAGTGTGCCTACGAGCACACCGTCCACCTGATGTTTACTGGGTGCCTATGGCCTATAGTCTCCTACATCTATCCTTAACTAAGAATCGAATTGCAGAGGCGTGTTTCCTCTGGTAGAATTGTTTGTTACCAGTAAAAGGGTCTCTGGTTCGCATCGCTCACCATTCTAAACACAACAGCACTGTGCTGCTTTTCACGCTGGTATTCTGTGCGAGCTTGGTCCTTTTCCGGTAAAGCCGATATATTTGTGTGGGTACTTAGATAAAGAAATAAATAAAAATAAAATAAAGGGCAAATGACCAGTAATTATACATATATGATATAATAGGGGTTAAAGTATGAAGTTGCCGTTTTAGGCCGGCCGCACATTTTTAGAAATTTTGTTACAAAACTTCTAACGCGCTGGTAGCACACTGCACACCCCGCACACTATCAGACATTTCGTTCCGTCAATTTTATTTATCACCAATATTCTGTACACATGTATATAAAAATTCTATCATTTGCTGCTCTCTCTCCACTACGTGCGTCTCACTCCTGCGTGCGTTCTCAGAATTTCTGATGGGTGTGCGACGTTTAGTACAAAATGTATGGAGAGCGCGCATTCCAACATTCTGACACAAAGTTTTTTGCCGATACAGAACTGTCTGTCAATTTATGCGGGGGGATAACCAAGAACAGCTCAGACCTATTGTGAAGAACTTCGAACAATGATGGTGAAACCCGCAGAGAACAATCCTGACTTGTCAATCGATCTTTGCCATTATTGTTACATGATAATCAAGCTCGGCAAATCATTTTAACGTTACAATACCTGCAATTTAAAGAAACTATGAAGATATCCTCGGTACTCAAAAGCTTGGCGTGCTCAGCACAGCGAGACAGTATTTCATGCCGGCACATCGCTTGTAACTTTACAAAGCGCAAGTTCGGCCTCACATGGAATACTGTTCTCATCTCTGGCCCGGGGCACCCCAGTGCCAGCCCCTTCCACTTGACCGCATCCAGCGCAGAGCGGTTCGAATCGTCGACGACCGAGTTCTTTCTGATCGGCTCGATACACTGGCACTGCGTAGAGATGTTGCATCTCTTTGCGTATTTTATCGCATCTATCACGGGGAGTGCTCTGAGGAATTGTTCGGACTAATCCCAGCCGCTCAATTTCACCATCGCACATCGCGACAAAACTCGCGTTACCATCCATACCATCTGGATGATTGGCGTTCCACCACTGTGCGATTTAGAAGAAGTTTTCTCCCTCGCACAACTTCCTTGTGGAATCAATTACCACTAGCGAATTTTCCGGATTGATACGACTTAGGAACCTTCAAGAAAAGAGCTTACACCTTTCTAAAAGGCCGGCAACGCATCTGCAATTCCCCTGGTGTTGCGGTTGTTCATGGGCGGCGGTAGTCACTTACCATCAGGTGAGCCGCATGCTCGTTTGCCCCCTCTTCTATAAAAAAAAAACTCGCCAGACCCATGCTAGCCTAACCTAAGACTCAATAAATTAAATTAAAAATTTTGTACAACCGACTTCAATATAAATTATTAAGAATAACTCAAAAACAATTGGTCAGACCTTGATCAAATTTATATGGGACCACATGAGAAGCACCGGCTTTCAAATAAAAAAAAAATCATCGAAATCGGTTCACCCTGAGAAAAGTTATGAGGTAACACACATAAAACAGAAATAAAAAACATACAGTCGAATTGAGTACCGTCTTCTTTTTGAAGTCGGTAGAAAAGTGGCACAAAATATCTTCATAGATTTGTAGATTCCAGATTCCTAGAGTTCTATCGAGGCGTTAATGACTTAATGATCTTGTACATTATGTATACGATTACATAAATGTATCTTTTTATAGAAAAAGTAGTCTTTGAATTTTTCAATATAAACCTGCAATTTCATATTTTAACCCCTAATAGTTAGCATTGACTTGATGGTAATACAAAATGGCCCATGGCCCAAATACAGGTTAAGTCAAATATTATAATATCTCTTTGTTTTACTTTTTATACATGACGCGTACTTTGTATGCGACTTCCGCGAAGGTAAAGGAGACATTCCAGGCATTTCACGCATACCTAATGTTTACATTCATAGCGCTTTTTTGTTTGTAGAATAACATCGCGGGTTTGCTACTAATTGCTGGTATGTATTTTAATTAGCGGCGTAGCCTTAAAATAATTATTGTACTTTAATTTTCATATAATAGTCGTAAATATTTTTTTTCCTTCGATGCCGATGTTCGATTGTTACATTGAAGAACTTTATGTACATAAGAAAGTTAAGATCAAAACATTTTATTCAATTTAGATTTGTTTGAAGAAATTTTAAAGTCGTGTTAAAGTTTCATTTGTAATAATTACAACTTATAATTAATACTATGTCAAAGGTCAACAAATATTTTTAAAATGTCACTTTTAATAAAATAAAAAATAAAAGGAGTAAGACGGCGTATATACGCTTTGAACCTGTGATTGTGTCGATAAAATTATTTAGGTCTCTTTGTATATCCATGCTATAGAGCAGTCGAATCAAGCGGTTTGTTTTCGTTATACGTAATGGGTATATCAAAAGAGTGGAATAATTTGCGCTCACCTCTCTTTCCATCCGATTAAAATGTAGCTGTCTCAAGGCAAGAGAGTTTTTATCGTAGTAGAGCCATGCTGTAGCCATAACATAACCTATGTAGCACGAATGGGTCGGCTTGACCGGTGAACTATAACGCTCTCACAGAATACCAGTGTAAAATAGCAGATCAAAGCTGCTGTGTTTCGTATGGTGAGTGTAGAGAAACGGAGACTCCTTTTACTGGAATCGAGGCTTTCCGTCTTAGTCCTCAGGGGTGACAACGCATCTGCATTTTCTTTTCGATTCTTAACCGAGGATACATGTAGATGTCTATGGGCCACAGCATACACTTACCATCAGGTGGGCTGTGTGCTCGCTTGTGTCACTCTTCTTCTTAAAAAAAAAGAGTGAATGGGCTTTTGTTCAGCAAAGTCATGGCGCTTTGCAATCTTCGGTTACATGACTACCTACCACCAGGTGGGATAGTAGTCAGGCACTGGCTTATAGTAAAAAAAAAATGAAGGTGATAAGTTATTTGGTATGCAGGTCGGACAATCAGTAACTGATAACGTTGATGTTTTAACAAAACTATTTTTTCTTTTAAAAGGTGGGGTAATTTAAGCAGTCTTTGATTTTTTGACATTGTTCACTGTTCAGTATTGGCATGAAAGTGGTGTTGAAATATAACTATCTATCATTTTCTTACGATCACCGACATGCGCTGAAGTGAAGTTGTTACGTGCTTTCCGAGGCACGGGTGTGTAACACCGCTAACGGGCTGCTAGAAAAATTTCTTGTCAGAACAACCCAATAACTGATTTAGGATTGACCCGGGATTCGGACACGTCGACCACACAATCATTGACAGCCGCGCTTCCGAACACTAGGCCAACGAGGCAGTCAAGTCATGATTATTTAGAAAAATGAAGATCATAAAAATTATAAAAAAAAATATTGTGTTTCTCAGTAATCTTCTTATTTTCCTCATCATCGGCTCATACCTGTCCACTGCTGAAATCTGTTTCCCATTGCAGAAAGGATTTGCGATAATCAATACGCTTGCCAAATCCAGACGTCTTGCACCTTTGACGCTGATCTTCGTCGCCGGTGGTATTGCCTTAGCGCCTAGGATACTACGACTATAATAATATAGCCGTAAATAATAACTTTTGTTTTAGGTCTTCTAAATAGAGTAATAGCATCAAACCTGCACGAAAAAGTCCTACCGATTACACCGCTAAAAGATCAACATATCGTCACGGGGCCACCTCTAGGTGACTTTCAAAGATTACCGGTGAGTATTCATATCTTATTATTAAGCGAATGCTCGACGTAAACACCTATAAATATGGCACTGTAAACCGTTTCCGTCCCACAGATTGTAACAAAAAATTACCCGAATTCATGTCACTTATTATTATACTAGCTGTGCCCGCGGCGTAGCTCGCGTATATAGGTTTTACTTGGAGAATTTGGCATTCAGGTAAGAAAATATTAAACTATTTATATCATTACTGTATCAATATCACTTATTAGACGTCAGTGTAACAGACGTCTCTGATTAGTGCGTATATACACTAAGCGCTCCGTCTCTATTTTCGCATACATGTTCACTATAAATTGGTAAAACAACCCCCGAAATCTTTGCATATATGCAAGAAGATATATGCCTTACATGTAACAGGTGTGAATAAAATTGCAGGGCAAATATTTTTTTATCAAAATTGGTCTCTCTGGTATTAGGATTAACTTGATAAATTCCGAAATTGTACCCATTTTCACCGTGACAATATATTAATGGATATTGTAGAGCATCATAATATCGATGCGTTTCATAAATCCCTGGCAGTCGATCGTCATGTGTGTGCAACACTATGTCACGTCTATCGCACTCCTGGTCAACTAATACCACTGCCACTTCATCAGTGACAGGAACGTTGCTACCGCGGTGTTCAGTAACTTTTTTTTTTAGTAACAGTACGTCTGTCAGCGTTAATAACTATTTTATAATTGTTTATTAAATCTTGACGGATCGATTGCAATGCAACCCTAAAACTATGAACGTACCGATTTATTTCATGTAGCATCCTTTGAAATTGGGATATGAGTTCGCTATTGAGTTGTGGGAAGTTGTGATTTCGGATATTAGTATGTTCATTATAATCTGATACAAAATAAATTGACTATTTTACTTATGTATACATATATATTTATAACTCATAATATATATCATTTAATTTAATTTATTAAGTTGAAATTGAAATTATATAATATCTACATTGGTTCTGGGTAATGTATGGTTATTTGTGAGAATGTGACTGCACGTCAATGAGTCTCAATAGAATTCGGAGTATCTTAACGCCGCAATTCAGAAAAGAAGGTAATTTGTACAATGCCATCTATTACGTTCGTTGTGAGAAAACTTTTTTAATTTAAGGAAAACATCTTTTTTATTGTTTACTTTGTTTTAAGTATAAATATATTATTATAGAACGTTTTTTTACACACAAATCTATTATTTACTTTTTAAATCTATATATTACTTTTTCTGAGATTTTATGGCGCCATTGAACAAATTAGAACCTACATTTTAAACTAATAATCATAACTTTCGATAGAATTAACCAAATTTAATAAAACAAAAATTAAATATAACTTGAAGATACGCTTTATGATTTTCTTAACGATTTCTTTTTTTAAAAATGTTTACTTTAGATGTGATGCGTTTATAAACAAACAGACAGACAGACAGACAGACAATTCTAAAAATTATAAAAATGTGTTTACTTAATTATTTTCATTTCCCTATAATGATTTTAGTGACAAATATTCTATACAATGTACAAAAACAGACACCACATGTTATCACCATTTTTATTATAAGTATATATTTAAAGAGAGATGGCGCTGCTAACAGCAATCAATTCTAAAAATAAAAGAGATTAATTGACGCGATTGGTACATTATTATATATATATAAAACATAAAAGAACTTATAAACCAGTGTCTGCATAGTAAGCAAAACGCCTTTTTATATTACATTTGGATCGCCGCCATCTATCGATGAAATTGGTTAAATATTTAACTTTAGATTTTTTAGTTAATAAGGTTATAATATATTTTTGTATATTATTTTATTTAATACGTTCTTTAATACTTTTGTTTACTGCGTTTTAGATATAATTATATCATTATAGAACATTATTTTACCTAATTTAATTATGATTTATGATATAGTATTAGTTTAAAATGCACTTGATGAATTGAATTGTTTTTGTCTATCGTTTCGTTCATTGGGATAAGTGAATAAATTTTTAGAGGCATTTTAAAAATGTGTAATACGCGTATGATGACATTATGAGAATCAGTATTTTTCAGTATTTTAGAAGCGTCGAACTATGGGATTATTAAAACTAAAATTATGAGGATTTCAAAAATTATATTTTGCTATTTATATTTGATAGTTGAAAGTTCCTTCTAGTTACTAAAGGAACTTCAGTGTGTATTTATAGCTAGCTAAAGGAATATTCCAACTACTTTTTTTGTTAATGTTAGACGTTCTATGTTATCGGGATGAATACACTAATCTATGAAATAAATTGTAAAATATATATTTTATTTCTTACTTCTTTCTTTATCTTTGACCCACCACTGTTAGTTTCATATTTGAATCATTCGACCTATATAAAATTCAACACCGTAGTTAAATATACTGCGCTCTGCAGTGATCACAACAAACGCCTTAACAAATGGAAAATTTTGAGACTCGCGTCCGGGAAACGTCTATTTAAAGAGGTGTTTTATAACTTACGATGATTTATATATCGTTATTTAAATAAACTCTATATTTTATTTTCGGTACTGTATTAGTTACTTTGCAATTAGGGTTAATGCAGAGCAGATGGCAGATATTTCTGCGTTCATTTACTTATTGCATTTATAACGTATTTCCAGATCAACTCTACATATTTTACATAATAAATATTTATAAATAATTTATAATAATTGTGTTTCTTATTCCCCTTATCTTTACATGTATGGTAATTGAATTTGTTTCGTATTCGATTATCGCGAATTTTACAATAATCAATTTAAGACCCTAAAACTACAGAAAAAAAAGTTATTTTACGCCAATGTAGATCTCTTTATTGTACTAATAGTCCACGGTCCCACATATAAGGGTTTCAGTGATTAATAACAGGCTAAAGGTTTATACACAGCTTCATTTTGACGAGACACCCAACTTTTATCATTGGACCAAATTCTAATAGTGGGAGGAAAAAGCGCGATAGGGAGCGAAACACGTCGATTTGATGAGTGTCCCAAATTACATATTAACTAATACTTTTTTCAAGTCACCATTCTGACATGTTAGAGCTGGGAGTCACTCGGAAGGTACCATTCACTTTGTATGCCACAAGTTTTTCTCAGTTTTCCATCGTATTTTCTCGAAGTATTGATTTTTAGAAACTGTTATTATTTAATTTGGGATACTCATCAAATCGACGTGTTTCGCTCTCTATCGCGCTTTTTCCTCCCACTATCAGAATTTGGTCCAATGATAAAAGTTGAGTGTCTCGTCAAAAAGAAGCTGTGTATAAACTTTCAGCCTGTTATTAATCACTGAAATCCCTTATATGTGTGTCCGTGGACTATAACTCTTATTTAGTAATTATGTTTCACATATTTCTGCCTTTTTTTTGTTAAATTTTGGTAAAGATACTACCTAATCGTCTCAAAATATTTATGGAATTCGTGGCTTCAACTGACTGCACGTTCGGACGCGAATGAAAGTACTTTTTATTTTAAGGTCAATATTTTAAACATGCTGTTAACGTGCTTGTTAAGTGGCAGACTGGCGTGGCATGCGGTTATAAAACATTGTATTCATTATAAAATCGTGTGGGTTAAAAGGAACATTTGAGGTTTAAAGTATTACTGTAAATATACTAATTGACTCTATGATCTAAAAGTGTTTTAGCGACTAATGTAAAAGTTGTTCTTGGGCTTTATCCGCTATATAAGATTCTCGATGAAGAAATTCATTGCAGAAACAAAGCCACTAACATAGCTTCCGGTTCTTGAATTGAAGTGATAATGGGTTGGTCACATTTATGTCGCAGAAATTACAACCGTTGGAGTAGACGGTGTGCTGAAGTGGATAACGCGCTTAGGTAAACTTAATGTAGGGCGTTCCAGTGCAAGGGCACAGAGTAAAGAGTAAGGACCAGAGGGGAAGACTAACTAAGACTAACAGCTCTTTCATGGATACTCCGACTGAGTCGGCGCAAACCGGTTTGTACCCCGACGGAGCGTCGGTGAACCTGTCGGTGAGAGCTCACGCACACATCGCTGCGCTATTTATGCGTTTATTCGCAGCGAGCCGTTTGTATGTAGCTTCCCCTCTGGTCGGTTTCTTTACTCATGTGGCTAGGGGTAGGCAGGTACTATCCCCGGAACGTGCTTCTAGCAAAGCATAAAGATGGAGGGACTTCGTTTGTGTTCCGGAAAAAGATCTTGTGGCCGTCGTCTACGCTGATGGCGACCCCTGTGGGGTTTTAGGCGGTTGAAGTCCCTCATAACCTCCCCGTTGCCCCCGGAGCGTAAGCTATGAGGTTATCCTCACGTTAAGAAAAGGGCGTCTCTTTGCTAAATGCCTGGTAGCAACTAGATGCATGGAGATCGGGTTAATTAGCGCTTCTTTGAAAGGCCTATCTAATGCAGAAAAACTCTATTTACGTCTAGGAGATATAAAGATTTCACTTTGACAGATCGACTCGCTCTTGCACTTCTTGGTCGAAATTCATAAAATATAATTTGTGTACATTAAAACTGTGATTATTATTATTACAATTGAAATTAGCGACTCCACTTCCTAAAAAAGCGAAAACATTATCGCATTCTTACTTCACATCTTTATCTTTGTAGGTATATTGCACGTACATTTAGGTACCTTCATTTGAGCGTAATGTTCCTGACCTAGAGACATGTTGAAACATTCTAAGCGATGACAGTGAGAATGTTGTATGTTGTCAATTTTAATTATTGTTGTAATGAGTATTGCCTGTAGATATTATTGACTACTACATAATACTATCTTAGTTTTACCCAGTGATCTTGTGACATAGTTCGAGGTCACTGTTTTTGGGTCTTCATGTGTAAGTTTTTTTCGTTTGTATAAATATTATTATTTTTAGTAAATATCTAAGCTGCAAGAAGACTTGTGCCCAGCTGTGAGCCGTATATAAGCCTTGACATAGCTTTTACTGAAAGGGTCTGTTAAATGTATTCTTAGGGAATTAATATTCTTTGCGAAAAACTTTAAATTTCATAAAAATCCATCCAGCAATCGGTTGGATCAGCTACCTCTGGTGCGAGTATAATGTTACCTACTTTGGCGTTTAATGATATACATCGTGATCATTATCATTATATACCTATAGGTACTGCTCCATAGACCCCTCGCAAAATTAACTAAGTGAAGAAATAAGAAACTCATAATAAATACATAGCTATTGAGTGTAATGCACTTTTAGATCTTAGAGTCACCTTAAAAGTAGAGTCTGTTAACTGCTAATCTGGACTCGATATTCCATAGCGGGATCTCATTTAGCACATATTTTTTAGTAATTTTCAACTTGTCAAATCTTTCTTAAAGGTCAACTAAGCACTACACTTAATTTGAGTCAGTTTAAGATAACCTTTGTTTTTTATTGTACAACTGTTGGCTAGAATTCAAACCCTCTGACTTTTCTATAACGGTAAAACCCGTTGAAATTCATAAAATACGTAAATGCGTAATGTGGCTTAAGCAATTACCGGCTATACCCCTATAAGGCATACATGTTTATTTTTAAATTTTCGTAGAAACCATTTGCGGCAATGTCACATAATATTACGTGACTTACGCCTCAACGTTAACCCTTTCGCTGGCCCGTGCACTACATATAGGTCATTGCTTTAATAGTCTTTCTATTACCAGATGGAAGTTAGCGTAGAACATTCTTTTTTTTAACTAAACTGTATGCCAATTAATTGCTCCATAATGCTCCAGCAGACTCCGAAATTGCTCCACCTCTATTGTTATTAGTTAATTTATGGTTAATTAAAAAAAAATTAAGTATCGAAAATTTAATTTTGCTATAAAATATAAAATATCTACTTTTTAAAATTAAACTGTACGCCAATTAATTGCTTAATAAATGCTCCAGCAGAATCTGAAATTGCTCCACCTCTATTGTTATTAGTTAAATTATAATTAATTTAAAAAAAATTTAAGTACCCAAAATTTAATTTTGCTATAACATATCTACTTTTTAAAATTAAACTGTACGCCAATTAATTGCTTAATAAATGTTCCAGCAGAATCCGAAATTGCTCCATCTGTGTTGTTATTAGTTAATTTATAATTAACTTTTAAAAAATGTAAGTATTGAAAATTTAATTTTGCTATAAAACATAAAATATCTACTTTTTAAAATTAAACTGTGTGCCAATTAATTGGTTCTTTAAATGCTCCAGTAGAATTCGAAATTTTCTTAGAATTCGATACTTAAATTTTTTTAAAATTAATTATAAATTAACTAGTAAAAATAGAGGTAGAGCAATTTCGGTTTCTGCTGGAGCATTTATGGAGCAATTAATTGGCTTACAGTTTAGTTAAAAAAGAATGTTCTACGCTAACTTCCATCTGGTCTTTCTATTGTGTCTGAAAACCGGACAGTGAAAGTGTAAAGTTACGTGTTAGCGATTCATTAATTTAATAGTTTTTCATATAGGTATTCTATTCCCATTCGGTTTTATTGTTTTTTTAATTACGTTAATGATTGTAGCTAAAGTCAACTAGACTAAGCTCACCGACACCTTATGTTAGAAGTCGTTCGTTACAAATTGTAAAGGAAAGAGAAAATAACCTATATATATATATATATTTAGTCATTTTAGGTATTTACCTAATATACAATATTATCGGTAAAATAAATATTATACTACGCATACAATAAGCAATATTAGAAATTAAACAAACATGTTTGGTTATATTTTCTATTCATTTTATTATTAGTAGTATAAAAATAATGGAAATTAGTATAAAATGAAACTTCGTAGTTTTGCTTACACTATACACTGAGTGACGTGATAATTGTTGTTGCCCTTGAGGAAGATGACTACGCCTGCCGTAATACAGTGTAAACTAGTACGATTTAGAAGATGTTTTCTTCCTCGCACAACTTGTGGAATCGATTACCACCAGCGATTTTGCCGGACCGATACGACTTAGGGACCTTCAAGAAAAAAGCCCACTCCTTTTTAAAAGGAGCCTCCTATAAAAAAATAGTACGGAGGGTAGAACATTAACTTCTCTATAACATGCTTCTATCTATCTAAATTTTGCGATTGTTGGATTGGGAACCGCAGTTGTTTTTAATTTAGCTGTTATCAGCAAGATGCTGCTGCCCATCTCCTGTTTTAGTTTCCCTCTGTCGCCTCTTACGATACCCACGGGACGATATGGGGTAGTGGGTTATTCTTACACCGCCACTACTCGGTGTAGTATTTAGCTTAGCAGCAATATATTTGTTTTACAAAACTGAAGTGACAAACCAACTTACAGTGCCCAACATTTTTTTTACAGGATTAGGGTGACAAACAACAAAATTTAATGGAAAAAAAAGCGAGCACACAGTCGACCTGATGCTAAGTGGTTGCTGTGGCCCATAGACATCTACATATATCCTCGATTACGAATCAAAATGCAAATGCGTTGTCACCCGTGAGGACTAAGATGGAATGCCTCGTTTAAAGTAAAAAGGGTCTTCGGTTGTCTACACTCACCATACGAAACACAGCAGCATTGAGCTGCTATTTTAAGCTGGTATTCTGTGAGAGCGTGTTCTTTCCCCGGTCAAGTCGACCCATTTGTGCTGCAAGTATACCAGTAACATAGCTGCGGCATGGCTCTATCACGTGTAAAACACACTATATACAGGCAAGATGCTACTGCAACACACACAGGAAAGGCTATAGATATGTTGTTACCTCAGAGGACTAAGATGGAATGTCTAACAATCTGTAATCTTAATGGCTTTCTGTTTTTATTTTATTTAGTTTATTTCTGTAAAACTTTTTGTGTTCACATTATGCACAATAATATAAGGTAGCGGACTTATTGTCCGTTGGCATGGAGTGAGAAATATAGTTTTTTTTTTCTTAATATCTATCGGTACTATATTTTACAAGTTCTGTTGTTACCTAAAATACGTATTATATTAGGTTGTGGTTTTATTGAAATAATCACATCCAATATTGATAAATATGTGTCTAAACTATATATCATGCGTATCTTTAGACCAATTTCTTAAATAATCTCTACTGTCCCACGTAATATAGAGGCGTGATATAGGCTATTACATAATATGTAAAAATATTCCAAACATATTCCAAACATGTCAGTGTTGATGGAATAGGCAAACATTTCATTAGATTTGTTAAAATATAATGTTGACTTATTCTTGATAAATGTTTAAATTAAAAATAAGGTTACTAAGGCTTATACATTACAATATCTACTTAATACAAAAATACCTTAGGTAATTATACTGAGTACAGTATATCTTTTTAAACTACTTGCATCATTCTGAATTTAGATTGTCTTATAATATGAAGAAAGCTCAGACGGTTACTCTATATGTATACCCGTTTATTGGATTCAAATCCACAAAGAATCCAGTCATGTAAGAATGTCATGATCTTGTTTCGATTTAAAACACGTAATTTTTGAATCAGTCATTAGCGAATAATAACTAAATTTAAATTTAAAAGACGTAAATCTGTGCAATTGTGATCAATTATGATTTTAATTTTGATTTAAAACCTAGGTATCAATAGTGATAACTGTTTTAATTTGATTTTTAATTGAATGGTGTCTAATTAATAAGCAAAATACTACGTGTTATAAGTAGCGGCACGAAAGTCTAGCGTTGACCGTTATTGGGCATAATCGAAAATAAGGTAACATGGGGTAGTAAGCGGGTCACGGGGCGGGTGTGCGTATTGTTCGCACGCACTGATTGTGTGCGACAGTACCCATGCGCAGCTCCCCTCCACAAAATGTCTTATATTTTAGTACTCTAGATATAACTTATATTATTTTATTTGTATGTTTGAAATTGTAGAGCTTTCACCTTCAAGCGGAAATTAATCAGGCTTAGTGAGGCCAGGTGCTAATGATCATTGATTTTCCAGGACGAAACTATTCTGGCAATCATGAAGTTTTTGGATATGCAGTCTTTAAGCCGCTGCGCTCAAGTGAGCCGCCACTTTAGTAGGCTAGCTCTGGACGCAATCCTGTACCGGTGCATCGACCTCAGGCCTTACTGGCACTGCGTTCGCTCACAGGTGTGTACTATTTGAAAAACTATTTAAGAATCTAACATCTATTCACACCATTCGCATCGAGCGTATACATCAACCCATCACTATCCGTGAGTAGAGTCGATTATGGTAAATGTCTGGAGTTCTACCAGTTGGCATTCGATTTTCTCGAGGCGTTTAAATAAGAAGGTCTTAACACTTTGCTTAACGACCTCAGTAGTGTTTCACAACGGGTAGGTTTGGAGATAAACATAGAGTAGACAAAAATCATGTCTAACGTCCATGTTACTTACACCCATAATGATAGTTGTAGGGAACTACGCTCGAAGTTGTTGATGAGTATGTGTACAGGAGACAAAATCCCGTTTGCCCTCTCTTATATATAAAAAAAAAAATTATTGTCCTTACACCGCTACTACACGATCTCGGTGGTGTTTAATTATGCGAAATATTTAACGATTGCAATTATAACAGGCCTCAGTCAAATATACCTCATATAACACCGTTTATTTAAAAAATCGGTTATCTATTTTTATTTTATTCTTATCAAATTCTTTTCCTTATGTAAGTGCAAGAACAATAAATTCATTAACAAAGGCAAACCAGCATGTCGCCGCCGCCTATGAGCATAGTATGTAATCTATTCATATATTCAAAGTGCGTGCTTAGCTTTTTAGAAAAAGTAGGCATTTTTCTCGAAGGTTTCTAAGTCATATGGGTTCAGTAAAACCGCTGGTTATAATTATTCCCACAATGAAACTGCAATCTTTACTATAAATCTTAAGTTGCGCCAACTTACTGCCAGGTGGGATTGTTTCAGGCACTTGCTTATAATAAGAAACATGTGGTATAATTAAAAATTTTGTACAACCGACTTCAATATAAATTATTGAGGATAACTCAAAAACTACTAGTTAGACTTTGGTCAAATTTATATGGGACCACAACATGAGAAGCACCAGTTTTCAAATAAAAAAGAATCAAGTTCAGTTCACAAAGTTATGAGGTAACATACATAAAATAATAATAAAGAAGAATTTAATACCTCCTCCTTTTTGAAGTCGGTTAAAACAACTATTCTTGTGGAAGGGCAATGCGCTCAAATATTTATTTTCGTTCATGTTTGCATAAAATTAATTGAAAATTATTTGCAGGTGCTGTCAACTTTGGGGACGCGTTGCAAATTCCTTCAGAAGCTCGATTTGTCTTGGTGCGGGAGTCATCGCATGATACAGCCCCATTACGTTGTTAAGTGAGTTGCGTTATACGGAAACTTATTCAAAACAATACTTTCCAAGGTCTTATGTCTAATTATTAATTATTATTGCTACAAAACAATTAAATAACTACTATTTTTGCATTTCCTCTTAAAAAAATGTGTTTACAAAAACGCAACTGCATTAAAAATTTACCAATAAGACATATTATACGATTAAATAATGATTATATCACAGCATTTTATACAAATTTATTATAAGTTTTCAAAATTTAAGTGAGAATGGTTACTAACCAACTTTAAATCGTTATAGATCCCAAAAGGTCATTCAAAATGTATTGTCCATTTAGAGAAGCCTCAAGATACTTTTGCAATGATACTCCACTTGACATAGTTCGTCGACTTTAATTTTTTTTTCACAATATAGCGCCATATTGAATTTTGATTACTATCATGTCTTTAGTAATACTAACAAAATTAAGACATTCGATTGACGTAAGAATCATTAAAATCGCCCCCGCGTTTGGTCTCTGGTGCGCCACAAAGGAACAAACATACGTACAGTATATACTTATAGTCTGGATGACATTACTCTTCTTTGCGTCGCGCAGTCGGGTAAAAACACATATTTTGTTTAAACACCATGATAACATGACACTATTTTATACAAAATATTTCTTTCAAAATCTTTCAAAAATTATGTTAAAGTTATAAATTTTAAGAAAACGCTTTTAATATTATTTGAGGATTTTTAACAAGCATAGGTTCGGGTCTACTGCCGGATAAAAGTTGGGAAACATTGAGTGATTGTAATAGGTTAACTGTACAAGGTTGGCATAGATAATTGATATTACGCTTAAAATTGTTAGTATAATTTAAAAGGCGTTGTAATCGTAAATAATGTGATTAATAATAGAGAAGTAATAAAAAATAAAATGGAAAATATTAATGTATGTTGGACAGGCACTCTTTCAATGTCATTTTTATACTATTAACATAGCTGCAGCATGGCTCTACCACGTAAAAAAATATAGGGTAGTGGATTTTCTTATACTGCCATTACGCGGCGAATCTTATGTTTGGTTACAAAATATTCCACCCATCCATTTCAACTCATAAAAGGCCACTGTTGAACGTAGGCCATTAACAGATGGCAACCGCAGTTTTTTTTAAATTATTTTGATTATTTATCAGAAAAGATGCTGTTTTAGTTTTCCTCGATCGCTTTTTACGACACCCATGGAACGATTTGGGGTAGTGGATATTCTTACAAGCCCACTACACGGTTTACAAAATTTTATTATAATGAAAAAAAAAAAAACATAACGCAGCTGCGAGTAATTGTCGCAAGTTGACAATGAGGTAAAGTTTTTTGTTACACAATGTCATTTAATTGAGAAGTTAGTTTTTAATAAACGTTTGTTTCTAAAGTATTCAATTAACATACGAAATAATGCCTCAGTGGTTTACTCTTTAATTTTTGCACATTTTAAACTTTTTTTTAAATGTTTCTACTTTTATGAATATTTGTCGTTTGGTTTAATTATTTTTAATTTTATTAATATAAAATATAGCTAATAGTACAGAAAGAAACATTAAATTTTACATTTTCCGAACAAATTAATTTCCCCGCTATGAAATCTGTCAAATATTATACCTCAATTTTAAGTGGCGCAGCCCTGGTGGCAGAAACCGTCGTGGATGCCCTATTGATGCCGTGGATTTTTATGAGTAAGGCCGTCAATGATTTAGTTAGCCAAATTAACGTATACATGTTAAAATATGTGTGTTTTCATACTTCTTATTTAATTTGCAGTTTCCTGAGAGACAACTGCTCGGAATTAACACATCTGAGAATGAATTGCTGCGAATTTGTCGACAACTCGGTGCTAAGGAGTGTGATTGAGAATTGCGCTTATCTACAAGGTTAGTCGTTTATATTGTTGCTTATAAATAAATAATAAAAAAAATATTTAGGTACCTACCGTTTTTTCAGCGTGTCAACTTTGCAGGTCCTCGGCACAAAACTTTTTAAATACAATAAAGTAACAAACGATTAATAATGTAAACTGCCTAAGGGGACATCTGGGCTGAGGTTGAGAAAGTCGACGTGTAGGTTTTTATCAATTGCTGAAACGACTGATTATACCTATATAAAATTGTCCTCAATATACCACGTCTTATGTAATACATATGAAAACATAATTCGATCACCTTTTTCCCCCTCCAAAACTGGACTGTTCAAATTGTTTGTTGGACATCTAATGGCGTCAGTATAACTAGGCAGCTAGTAATTTTGGACGGTACCTAGGATTTAATTAATGAAAATAAAATGAACATACAAGGTGGTATGTAACATTTATTTTGTGCATAATATTAATGTCCTCCAGACCGAATTTCGGTCACGGTGGCCAGCCTCAACGGAGACTAGCCATCTGCGCAGGACAGGATTATAGTGCCCAAGTGTATGCGCAAGCACAGGTGCACTCTATTCTTTCACTCATAGTCCGATGGGACGGTAAACCGACACGACCGGAGAGAGATCAGGCGCAGGACCAACGGCTTAACGTGCTTTCCGAGGCATGAGGGTGAGACACCGCCACCTTCCTGACTCCGGGCAGCTACTGAGAATTTCTTGATAGAAAAACTCAATAACAGATTTTTTGGCCCGACCTGGGATTCGAACCCGGGACTTCATGATCAGCAGTCGCACTACTACAACCACTAGACCAACGAGGCAGTCAAAAGTTTTCTGCATATACTAATGTTAAATATTCACTGCCCGCGGTGCAATAAAATGGGGAAACAGGATGTCGCCTTTTGCGCTCTTCGCTCTCAGGCCTCTCGGCAGGTCTGCCGTTAGGCAGATTTTCCCAATTTTATTGCACCGCGGGCAAAGATTGTTTAACATTAGTAAAATGTCATGCACTGCTGTGTTCTGGTCTGAATATTGTAGAGAGCTAGTATAATAAAGGGCCGTGAGACATTCCATCTGTCCTCAGAGTTCATAACGCACCTGTAGCCTTTTTTTGTTTTGCTACTATTTTAAGAAGGAATGAATTTTACACGAAGTCAATATACAGTGATTGAACAGACGCATTGAACTGGCATCGTTGAGGCTTGCGGCAGTTGAATATTATAGCCTGTTTTCTATCTGTTCTATGTAAATCGGTTTCTCATGTCGTTTAAATTTATTATTACAATCGGTCATTATTGTAGAATGGTAAAATTTTAGAACTGAAGACAGTAAAAAATAATAAAGGAAATTTTTTTTTAATAAATTGTTGTACGCCAAATTATTAAGCTAACGGTTGAAATTTAGTGGCAAATTTTTAGATTTGATTTGGAAGCAAATTGTATTTAAACGGCAAGCCTTTAAGCCGTAAAGTTTTATGACAGCATTGTTTTATATGTTGATCGTTCGATCGTTGATCGTGTGTGATATTATCGAGATATCGCTACGCACGTATAACATCATCGGTCGCAATGTGAAATACGTTATAACTTCCTTGACGCCATTATCCCGGAAGAATTGTCACTGAAACTTTGGTTAGTATTCTCATGCAAATGCATAGATATTTGTACGTTATTACCCTAAGTAGAAGTAATACATACAGAATACATAATTTGTAATACCTTATTGAGCGATTAGGTTAAAGACTTTTGTCAGAATTTGAGTCAAATTTATGTTGTATGTGTTGCAAATTCGTGTTGTATGACTGGCGTGATATTTGCAAAATATAATACTGATATTTGCATATAAACTAACTGTCTCGTTGGTCTAGTAGTCGTAAGTGTGACTGACGATCGTGTGGACCCAGCGTTGTCCTATTAGAAAAAACGTTTAAGATTTTACAGAGAGGTCCTTCGAGGAAGAACATTTCTAGTAAAACGCACAGTGGTGGCCCGCCAAGCATCCAGACGGTGTAAATAATATCGCGAGTTTTGTCGCGATGTGCGTTCGTGTAATTTGACGGATGGTATTAATCTGAACATATCCTCAGAGCACTCCCCAAGCTTTCTAGAAGCTAATTTAGCGTTCTCTTCCAAGTGACCATGCTGTTGCAGGTCATTCGGTATATTGACGTCGAAGATTTCGCTACTGGCTGCGGCAACAAGGGAAGTGCTCTGAAATGAGGAGATAGGATAAAGGTGTTTTTTTAGCGGTAAACGCGCAAAATTGTGAATTTGTGTAATAAATTATCGTGTAACGACTTTAAGTTAAGTGCTTTCCTAAAATATGTTAGATTTAAAGTATATTTTTGTAAAAGAAACGAATTTGGTAAACATGGAGGCGCTTTCTTATTGGATTTGACGTTTTGCGTTGTGCCTTCGACGCCGATCGACCAATCATATGCTATTATTACATCGTCTAATGGTCCAAGATGCCACCAATGTGACTGCTGTTTGAATTGATTCTTAGTTATTGGCAATTAAATATTTTATTTCATGATATTTCATTTCATTCATGACGTTATTAATGATTAAAAAAGTTTATAATATGATTTTTCTTGTGTGATGGGAGTCACAATTAATAGATTTATACAATAAAAAAGCAGGCGTATATATCATTATATCTTAATGCATTACAAACTTAGTAACCTTCAACAACATTATCGATACTTTGATGTCGAAAGTTAACATTCCTAAAATAGGTTTTTACCTTACATTTATTAGCGTCACCAACTGGGGAATAGCTGAAATGTTTTCCTAATAAATATTCAGCGTAGTTTTGTTATGTTTAGGTAGAGGGCGTCACACACGTGCGAGCTCAAAGTTTTTGTATGCAAATGTTCCCTATAGCCATTCTCTGATTAGACGACACCTCTCCAACTTAACGTTTAGGTTCAATGTGCCTCTAACTATTCGGTGATCGCTAACAGTTTTCACCCTTGCGATCACTGAGACATCACTGAACAGTTGCTGTCTAGTCATCATAATGAAATCAATCTCATTTTTGTCGAACCGTCGGGGTTCGACCAGGTCCACTTCCTGTGGGGCCACTTCTGGAAGGAAGAGTTCATCATAAAGAGTCCCTCATTCTCCATGAAGTCGGACAGCTGCTGGTGCTTTGAATTTCGTTGCCCTATTTCGAATTTCCCTACTTTCTGCTCATCGTTCTTTCTTGTGCCTAGTTTTGCGTTGAATTCTCCCATTAACACCGTATATTGGGTTTTGGAGGAATACTTGGCTCTAGAGATATCTTCATACATTTCCTCTACCTCCTGATCGGGATGTGCCGATGTTGGTGCGTAAACCTGTATGACCTTCAGCGAATACCGTTTGGTGATTCAAGGTATAAGGTACGCAACCCTCATCGACACACTCCTAATCTTTACAACGTTATTAACGAGAGGCTTGTGGACACCTCCTTGGGACAGATGGTCACCCTCCCGATGATAGAACGAGTTGCCGAATTCAAGGATTACCGTGTCTTCCCCCTCTCTCCGGACCTCGGATAATCCTATAATATTCCAGCGCACCTTGTCTATAGCTTCTTCCAGCTCTAGGATCTCCTCGTCAGTCGTCAGGGTGCGTGCGTTATAAATTGCCAGGTTGAGTCTTGTAGGTGGCAACCGAACCCCACCGGAGATTCTTAGCCCCCTGCCCCGCCGTTACCATGGCCGCCACCGTATCCAGGAATAACGGGGCCGCCGGGGACTGGGGACCGTTTATTAGTGTCATTGCCCATGAGGGGTATATTGCCATAGTTGCCACGCTTGGCGAGCGTGTTGGCAACCGCAGTTGTTTTATTGCTTTTTGCTGCTATCAGAAATATGCTGCTGCTCATCTTCTGCCTCAGTTTCCCTCTGTCGCCTTTCACGACACCCACGGGAAGATATGGGGTAGTGGGTATTCTTACCCGCTACTACACGGGCATACGGACATTTAGTAATGTATTTCAAGGCTAATAATAAAAGGAGCGAAAAAGCTTAACTCGCCTTCAATTATTTCAAAAAATAATAAACCTAGCAAGCTAACAGCATAGCAAAGTGGCGAAGCAATCAGCTTTGTAGCGGTTTCTAACGGTTGCCGTTGAGCAATCAGTTTCAAAATAGGAGGTTCAGATGCCTGGGTGATCAGTAATCGATTGCTGAAAACAGAATTTGAAAATTCGAAACCGTTCTCGTGATAATCGTGGGGCAGACGGACAGACGGACAGACATCGTGAAATCAATAAGTGACTTCGCAAGCTTCGCTACTTAATAATGATAATTATTATGTTTATTTTATACATATTACCTATGGATATGAAAGGGCTCCTACTGTATTGTTGTCACTCAGAGTTGGCAATTATACTCGCTCAGATTGTTATTGAACCAACTGATCATTGTTTGTATCTTGACATACTTGGCTTTTTGTCAATCCAATGACAATGATTGGTATGCCTTGTCTAGAATATTAAACAAAAGAAGAAAGAAATTTCTTAAGAAAAAGATCCCGTTATTGCTATACTAAATTAAAATTATTAACATATTATCAGTAATAAATAATAATAAGAACGACATAGTGTTCTTGTCAGAACGCCTGTATCCAGATTTAGTATGGGCTAGCTGTTCCCCGCGACTTCGCCCGCGTGTTGTTTGGGGTTTTAATTTTTTTTTTGCGCGGAACCCTACTTTTTTTTCTATAATAAAAGTAGCCTAAGTTACTCCTTGTGTTGTCTGCTATCTGCCAGTGGAAATGCCGTCAAAATCGGTCCAGCCGTTTCGGAGATTAGCCGGAACAAACAGGCAGACAGACGGACAGACAGACAGACAAAAACTTTAAAAATAGTATTTTTGTTATATACTTTCATATGCATTTTGTAAAAAGCTGTAATTTTGACATTACAAGCAGACACTTCAATTTTATTTATTTGTATAGATAACAGAATTTTTTCATGTTTATATTTTAATCAAATCCAACGCGTCACCTTATAAACATATTAATATTTTATAATGCTATACGAAACTAGAGATGTGCCAATTCGGTATGCCATCCTGTCAATTTGTTACAAATTATTTAAATATAAGATACCTCTCTTAATAAAACTTAAACAAAAACCTGCGCCATCTAATATTAAAACATAATAAACAAATTAAAAAAAAAACCTTCAGATTTATAATAGTAGTAATAAGCCAAGTAATCCAATAATGGAAACACGACTTTTAACTCCGTTACATGACATCATTTTGAAAACTATGTGCGGTATAGGAAATTATTTAAATTATACGTTGAAATCTATTAATTTCACGCAAAAATCGGTGTTATCACCTTTGAAACTCTTGTTGTAAAACAATGTTAGAGTAAAAATCAATTCACATTTTAAGATAACGTGTACTTTATTTACTACTCTATTTATTTATTACTTTACAATCTTTGACTAAAATTTCAAACCAAAAATGTTTTCTTGAAAACTTATATCTCTTATAGATAATCATTAAAAACTCTTTATTTAATCAAGTTTTCGATTTTACAAAAAAAAATTTTTTCGTATTTAATATAGCCCAGACCACCACTCCAGGCTTTGCTCCCTGTACCCGAAGTTTCATCACAATTAATTCAGCCATTCTTAAGATTATCCCGGACAGACAGACAAACAGACAGATAGGCTATTTGCTGGGAATCTTTTTGCGCTTGCCTGCGACATGTATCGCAATCTATTATTGTAGGTACATCGTATGTGTATTGCTAATTTTATTTTTTAATGTCTAATTTTGCGTTAACACTAAGATGAAAGTTGTAACAACAACATTATCTTCAAAGTATGTTTTTTACAATCACTTTTTTATTAAAATATAGCAATACTTTCTTCATTATAATGAATAATATTTATATTTCAGAGCTGTGCTTGCGTTCGGTCGTGGGGTGTACTGACTGGATATGCCTGGCCACACTGAAGCGACTGAGGCGGCTGGATCTGTACCGCACGGACATCGGCACGATTGCCGCCGTCGCCATAGTGCGCGCCAACCCTCACCTGCAGCATGTGAATGTTGGTACGCATTTTAATGCTTTGTGTCTTATGAAGTTGTTTCTATCTTGTGCTAATGACACTTGATTAAATGTGAAATTAATTAATAAAACATATTTTTATAAAAATGAGAAAAAACATTGTGCATAATAGGTACTTTTTGTGTGAAATGTTATGCGGTAAAATAAAAGCACAAACAGTATTTATGTATCCTACTTCTGGACATAGGCTTACTATAGTTTCTAAGGGGACGTTAGAGCAGGGAAGGATTCGGTGCGTGTTGGCGCCTTCATATTATGTGTTCGTAATATTGCACGCCTCATAACGCGTAGCGTTATAGGCGTGTTCTACTCTCGACACTTCAAGGTCAATCAATTTACGTGTACGTCCGGATGATCATTTTGTATGTGGTCACGATAACTCCCGAAAAAATTGACGTATCGAGATCGGCTTTTTGTATTAGCTTCATAATTACATCAGCTGGTTTCCTATTGAATATCAATAGCCTAGTATGCGCGTAATTGGTAAATAAAATGATTTTCAACTTTCTTCTTCTTTTTTCTTCAACTTCATAATAGAGTCCTAGGTGTATTAACACCTAAATAATATATATTGAAAGTCAGGAATACAATTATTTTATCAAAATTAAAATAACTGTTATCCTGATGAGTATAACATGAAATATCATGAATTCAAATATTATGCATATTTTTTATTTATTTATTTCAAGCATGAAATCTCACTACTTGCTATACTTGTGTTAATGATTTTTCTTTACTTGTCTGTACTTAATAATTTTGTCAAGTGTCGCCTTTCTCCTTAATTACTCCGTAAAACAGACATGGTCCTAATATAATAAATAACACTAATATGGGCTTCCCACGTATGAGGTACGAGTACAATCTTCCATAATTTTTTGATTTTAACGCCATCTATTGGAAACTAAACCTTTCTGCCATTTCGAATTATCTATATTCGAAATATATATTCCGAAACATATCGCCACATCACAGAAAATCGCTCACATAGGAACAAATTAATAGGTGCCCGTCAGTACTTATTACACCTAAGAATGAGATAATTGGCTACCTTCGGAATTATGGAGTGTCATCTCTGTCGCAATCGCATTTACAGTCTGGTATCTATTATAGAGCTGTAAATCAGTTACTTTTGTACCGATTTCAACAAGGAGGAGATACTCAATTCAACTGTATGTTTTTTTTATAAGCCTCATAACTTTTTTCTAGGTGAACCGAATTCGATGATTGTTTTTAGGGTTCCGTACCTCGAAAGGAAAAAACGGAACCCTTATAGAATCACTTTGCTCTCCGTCTGTCTGTCTGTCTGTCTGTCTGTCTGTCAAGACCCTTTTTATCAGGAACTCGTGGAGGTATCAAGCTGAAATTCATATCAAATACTCAAGTCTACTGTCACTTAGAGCTGTGAAAAAATCAAACTTCCTAAGCCAACGCAATCAAAAGACACAGCCATTTATGCCGCAAATTTTCGACATTCGCAAGGGAATCAAAACCTACAGGATACTTCCCGTGAACTCAGAATCTTAAAATTTGGTACAAAGCAGCGTATTATAGCACTGATAAAGGAAAAATTGCGAAAAGCATACATTTTTGCTACATCATATAATAAAAATATTTTTAATAATTTTAAACTTTTTTTTACGGTGGTAGAGCCACGCAGCAGTTTTTGCTGTTGCACGTATGGGTCGGCTCTAGCCGGGTTGGTACCACGACCTCACAGAATACCGGCGTGAAGTAGAAGCTCTGCTTCTGCGTTTCGTCTGGTGAGTGCAGGTGGCCGGAGGCCCAATCCCCCCCCCCCCCATCAACATGGTAGCGGAATTACACCAAAGACTACCCCAGGAGGGTACCAGCACTCCTGGAGAATCCCTCGCTGAGCATCCACGACCATGTTATTCCACTCCTGAGCGCGGGTGCTCAGGCTGCCCCGCGTATTCTGGGGGGGGGGGGGGGGGGGTGTTCTGACCGAAACGCAGATGTCCTCTCCGGCGGATACTTCGTATCTCTCCTGCCAAATTGGGGTACAAATTGGAGCACTCCTTTGTACCTCGGATTGGAGTTTGACATCTGTTCTCGACGCCTCGGCAGTCTTGAAGTTTCGGACCTGTCCATCCTTTGGCTACGCGTAGACAGCGACGACCATCCGCGCGTCTACGGGTGCCTCTATAGGTCCCATAGCGGTAATGCCGAAACATACCGAATCATCGACCACGTCCAAATGGCTACAGATTCCTTGCTAAAACAGGTCCCATCCGCAGAGATCGTGATCCTTGGGGATTTTAACGCCCACCACGCCGAATGGCTCGGTTCATGTTTAACCGATCATGCAGGGAGATCTGTTTATGACTTTGCCTTGGCATATGGTCTGACACAACTGGTTACTTCGCCTACGCGGATTCCAGATGTGGAGGATCATACACCTTCCCTGTTGGACCTTCTGCTGACCTCTAATCTGGATGGATATCAGGTTTCCGTCGATCCCTCTCGGCTCTTCGGACCATTGCCTGATCCGGAGTGTGGTGCCTCTCACGCTCCCCTCGCGGTTGCGTTTTGCAGGTTGCCGCCGTGTTTGGCATTACAGGTCGGCGGATTGGGACGGAATGCGGTCTTTCTTTGTATCCTACCCATGGGGGCGGGTTGGCTTCTCGCTGGATGATCCCAGCGCTGTTGCTGACTCTGTCACTGATCTGGTGCTACAGGGAATGGAACTATTTATTCCATCATCTGTGGTACCCATCGGAGGCAGATCTCAGCCTTGATTTGGTCGCTCCTGTAAGACTGCATTACGCAGTAAGCAGGAGTGTTATCAAGCCTGGGCTACGGCTTCGGCGACTCGGGATGTAAACACCAGCACACTTAAAAAGAAGTATAACTTCGCCTTCAGGTACTTCAAAAGAGTTATTGCCAAGGCAAAGTCAGAGCACATAGGCAGAATTGGCGAGAAACTAGTTCGCCTTCCTTCGGGAACCCGTGCATTCTGGTCTCTCGCCAAGGCTGTCCAAGGGAATTTCTGTAAGCCTTCACTACCATCTCTGCACAGGGAGGACGACACACTGGCCCACGCCGCAAAAGAGAAAGCCGACCTTTTAGGCTCCCTTTTTGTGTCCAACTCGACTCTAGACGATGGGGGAAAACACTGCCGACCATCCCGCGGTGTGAGTGCTCCATGCCGGATGTGCTGTTTTCACAGCGCTCGGTTCGCAAAGCACTACTCTCCCTGGACATCCAGAAATCGAGTGGGCCTGACGGAATCTCCCCAATTGTGCTGAGGACGTGTGCTCCAGAGTTGGCACCGGTCCTAACGCGTCTTTTCCGGTACTCCTACTCCCAAGGCGTAGTCCCGAATTCATGGAAGACAGCTTTTGTCCACCCGATCCCTAAAAAAGGCGACCGCTCAGATCCGTCCAACTACAGGTATATCGCCATCACCTCCTTGTTCTCCAAAATAATGGTACCTTGAGGATTACCAGCTGATTAGTGACCGCCAATACGGTTTTCACCGAGGTCGATCAGCTGGTGATCTTCTGGTCTACCTGACCCATAGATGGGCGGAGGCAGTAGAGTCCAAGTGGGAGGCGTTGGCCGTTAGTTTGGACATTGCGAAGGCCTTCGATCGGGTTTGGCACAAAGCGCTTCTTTCGAAGCTCCCTTCCTATGGGATTCCCGAGAAATTGTGCAATTGGATCACCAGCTTCCTTGCAGATCGGAGCATCAAGGTCGTTGTAGACGGTCTATGCTCTGACTACAAGCCTATTAACGCTGGTGTTCCACAAGGCTGTGTGCTATCACCAACTCTGTTTCTTCTGCATATCAATGATATGTTGCTAACTGGTAACATTCATTGCTATGCGGATGACAGCACTGGTGATGCTCTATACACCGGCTGTGCCAATATTTCTCGGGAAAACGTCGCCGAGTACCGGAACAAACTTGTTCTGAAGTCGAGTCTTTGCTGAATCATCATCATTACAGCCCTTCACAAGTCCACTGCTGAACATAGGCCTCCCCCAAAGAATGCCACAAAGCACGGTCCTGAGCCACCTGCATCCATCGACTTCCTGCAAATCTTACCAGGTCGTCACTCCATCTAGTGGGGGGACGCCCTACACTTCGCCTGCCGGTACGAGGCTGCCACTCGAGAACCTTTCTTCCCCATCGGTTGTCGGTTCTTCGAGCTATATGGCCGGCCCATTGCCACTTCAGCTTACTAATCCGTTGGGCTATGTCGGTCACTCTGGTTCTACTGCGGATATCCTCATTTCTGAGTTTATCACGCAGAGAAACTCCGAGCATAGCCCTCTCCATAGCTCGCTGAGCGACCTTGAGCTTCCTCATCCGGCCAGCAGTGAAGGACCACGTCTCAGTTCCGTATGTCATCACTGGCAACACGCACTGGGTGTACAGTCTCGTTTTCAAGTTTTGAGGTATACCTGACGAGAAGATGTGCCGTAATTTCCCGAACGCTGCCCAACCGAGTTGAATCCGTCGATTGACCTCTCGGTCGAAGTTGGACTTACCTAGTCGGACTATTTGTCCCAGGTAAACATACTCGTCAACAACTTCGAGCTTAGTGTTCCCAACAACTACCGGCATAGGTGTGACATGGACATTAAACATGATCTTTGTTTTGTCCATGTTCATCTTAAGACCTATCCGTTGGGAAACACTATTGAGGTCATTGAGCATAGTGCTTAGGTCCTCCAGCGATTCTGCCATAAGGACTATATCGTCGGCAAATCGAAGGTGAGTGATGTACTCGCCATTGATGTTGATACCGTATCCTTTCCAGTCCAGAAGCTTGAAAACATCTTCCAATGCAGCGGTGAAGAGTTTCGGGGATATGACGTCACCCTGTCTTACACCTCTCTGCAATTGGATAGGTTTCGTACTCTGGTTCTGTACTCGGATAGCCATCGTAGCCCTACTGTACAAGCACTTCAACACTTCGATATACCGACAGTCAACTTGGCATCGCTGAAGGGACTGCAGCACCGCCCAAATTTCGACGGAATCAAAGGCTTTCTCATAGTCCACATACGCCAGACATAGTGGCAAATTGTACTCCTCGGACTTCTGTACAATTTGCCGAAGGGTATGTATGTGGTCTATGGTGCTAAAGCCTTTTCGGAAACCGGCTTGTTCGGGAGGCTGGAAGTCGTCAAGTCTGCGCGCGAGACGATTCGTAATGACTCTCGAAAACAGCACGAAGACGCGGCTCAGAAGGGAAATCGGTCTGTAGTTCTTCAAGAGAGCGTTGTCGCCTTTCTTGAAGAACAAGACCACCGCACTTCTGCTCCACGCCTCCGGTGTAATGCCACCATGGAGGACGGAATTAAAGAGCTTCTGAAGGACTTCAAGTACCGGTTTTCCACCCGCTTTCAGAAGCTCCGCTGTAATTCCATCCTGGCCTGGGGCCTTGCCGTACTTTGCTGAATAAAGTCTCGGATTGGGGGCGACTAAATCTAGTCCAGTTTAATCCTCAGAAGACACAAGTTTGCGCGCTTACCGCTAAAAAGAACCACTTTGTCGTATCTCTTCAGTTTCAAGGCACTCTCCTTCTCGCCTCAGACAGTATCGGAATCCTCGGAGTCGACATATCGAGTGACGTGCAATTTCGTGGTCACTTGGAAGAGAAGGACAAATTGGCCTCTAAAAAGCTTGGCGTGCTCAGCAGAGCGGGACAGTATTTCATGCCGGCACACCGCCTGCAATTTTACAAGGCTCAGGTTCGGCCTCACATGGAATACTGTTCCCATCTCTGGGCAGGGGCTCCCCAATGCCAGCTCCTTGATCGCATCCAGCGCAGAGCGGCTCGAATCGTCGACGACCGAGTCCTTTCCGATCGGCTCGATTCATTGGCACTGCGAAGAGATGTTGCATCCCTTTGCATTTTCTTTCGAATTTACCACGGGGAGTGCTCTGAGGAATTGTTCGGATTAATCCCAGCCGCCAAATTTCACGAACGCACATCGCGGCAGAACTCCCGATACCATCCACACCATCTGGATGATTGGCGGTTCACCACTGTGCGATTTAGAAGATGTTTTCTTCCCGGTCCGGACCGATACGACTTAGGGACCTTCAAGAAAAGAGCCTACTCCTTTTTAAAAGGCCGGCAACGCATCTGCAATTCCCCTGGTGTTGCAGTTGTTCATGGGCGGCGGTAGTCACCTACCATCAGGTGAGGCGCATGCTCGTTTGCCCCCTCTCCTATAAAAAAAACTTATATACCTACGGATTTGTTCGGAACCCTCGGTGCGCGAGTCCGACTCGCACTTGGCCGGTTTTATTTATTTGAAAGCTGCTGCTTTTCATGATCCCATAATCATGATAAGGTCAAGATGTAACCAATAGTTTTTGAGTTATTCTTAATAATTTATATTGAAATCGGTTGCACAAACATTTTAATTTTAAATTATTTGTAATGAAATATAAACGCCATAAAATAAAAATTAATCGTGTAGTGACGGTGTAAATTCTTACATGATGATATTTGGTAGGGAATATTCATTCACTACCCCATATCATCCCGTGGGTGTCGTAAGAGGCGACAGAGGGAAACTGGAACAAGAGCAGCACCATTTTCCTGATAACAACTGTAAATAATAAAAAACTGCGGTTTCCAACCCGCTTCCTTAGCGTGGCAACTATGGCAAAATCCGCTCTATGAAGCAATCAGTGGGGGAGGCCTATGTTCAGCAGTGAACTTTTAAAGGCTGTAATGTATGGGTGGATGGAAAATAAAAACAAAACATTTTATACAAAACATTTACACACATTGTACTTAAACAATTTTTCATGACTGACCATTTTTTTTTTATAGGAGAGGGGGCAAACGAGCATGCGGCTCACCTGATGGTAAGTGACTACCGCCGCCCATGAACAACCGCAACACCAGGGGAATTGCAGATGCGTTGCCGGCCTTTTAAAAAGGAGTAGGCTCTTTTCTTGAAGGTCCCTAAGTATGTGCTTTACCATGTAAAGCACGTCCTATTTTTATAATAAATACCACTGTCCGATTTCAATTTGGGGAGTTTTAAAACTCTGTATAATATGTATTTTAAAGTGGACGCGACTGCACTTTATAATTATCCAGACAAGTCAGCGATAAAACGTAACATAGTTATGAGCAGAAACGACGCTTTATGAAACTGCGGTTAGCCGATTTTCTTTTTCTAATGTTCGATGTGTAATATTTTCTGTCGGCTACAGTAGTTATTTGTTCTATTTTAGGTTCGTGTAAAATGATATCGGCAATGGACGAAGTGGCAATAGCCTTGGGTGCCAATTGTCCTGGACTCATATCCGTAGACTTTTGGAAATCTTATTCGTTGACCGCGGTGGGTATTAGGTCGCTCGGGAACTGCAAGATGCTGCAAGAGTTGGATGTGGGATGGTGGTGAGTTAGAACGAGAACAATTATATCATTTTAATTTCATAAGGTACTTTTTTTACAAAGTTATTTTTGTCGTATAGCATGTTTAGTACGTATGTGCATAGTAAAAAACGGGAAGAAAGTTTTTTTATTTTATAGCATAATATATAATAAAAACTATTCCCGTTTACCATATATTTTACCATACCATTACCATAATTTTTTCTCTATATTACTTCTCAATATTTTAAAAATTTACACTATCTTAAAATGTTTTCGACTACTAGCAGAAGGCAAGGTCATTCATTGTTCGAAATTCTTCGTACCTGGTTAACGGTCTTCACCTATGTATATGTCACCACTACAGGCAAAGCACCATTTATAAAATAATATTGTATGATTATTTTTTTTAAACAGCTTACAAGCGGGCAGTTCAGGCGACTGGTTGGCTTCTCTAGAGGGGAAAGAGCTTCGCAAACTGTTTCTTGGAGCTTTACGTGGAGTTTGTGACCGTGACCTCCGCACTTTAATACCACGCGCGCCAAAACTATCACAACTAGACCTGTTGGGCGTCAGAGCGGTCACACCTGATATTTGTAGCGAGTGAGTGTTGCCAGTATCAATATTTTAAAGGTTCTATATTCATACAAGAAATGTTATTATTTCTGTCCCTTTGTACTAATGTGTTAGTGTTATAACTTTTATACTTTTCCGTCCGATTTAGATGAAAATTTAGAAGTATACGCTTTCGAACAAGTTTTCAATTTTATGGTTATTAATTATTCCTAAATAATCACAATTTTCATTTACATTCCCTATGTGTGACACGGGATGCAAACATTTTTTTGAACTTTAAATATTGAGTGCGATATTATTATTATAAGCTCCATAAACAGCTTCGGCAATTAAGCTTAATTTTCGAAATATTTAGCTACACAGTGTCTTGCAATGTGTCCTTAACCTTTTACTTTCATCATCATCATCATCATTACAGCTTCATAGGGAGGATATTTGCCCTTCTTGCCACGCTTGGATTGGCAGGTTAACAACCAAAGTTTTTTATTATTTTGGGCTATTGTCATGCATCTTAAGACAACCATGGGATGATATGGGGTAGTAATAAATAGCATTTACTGAATACATGTGATTAAAATAAAACTGATTTATAAGCGAAAATATTACGGATAATTTACAGAGTAGTCTATGTTTACATTTGCAAGGTTCCTTACGCGTGTCAATGTTTTACAATACCAGCCGTATCGTAAAATATTGATTTTGAGACATAGCATCTTCCACCTTCTTTACCCATTATCAACCGTTGATTAGGTCTGGGCCTTTTTATTTCCATTGATTTGTGTTCCAATAATTATCATTAATCCGGGCTATTTTAATATCACGGAAAATTATTATTGGAACTAAATTACAATTCGTCTCAATTCAGAAGTCTGTATTAGGCGACAAAAAAGTAAAGTAACAGTAATAGTTTTATTTTTTTAATATCAACCTATAAATATTTTAAATCCAAAAGTTAAAAAATGCATGAAGAATTAAATTGAATGGGATAAAGAGAATATTCAAGGCCTCTAATGCTTTTTGAGCTCGAAGAACCTACGTTGGGGAGGAAAATTTCCTGAGTAGCAGTCTCTTACCAGTACAAGAATGTACGGTGACCCGCACTAGATGGAGTGACCTGGTAAGAGACGCAGGATGCTTTGTGGCATTCCTTAAGGAAGGCCTATGTTCAGCTGTGGATTTGCGGTGGGTTGTAATGATGATGATGGTGAATCAAAGATAAAAATAAATAAGAATTGTTGTTGTTTCAGTATATTAGCGCGATGCCAAGAGCTGAGACTGTTAGATGTCAGCTTTTGTGATCAAATTTTGGAATCTCAGGTAAGTAAAGTACATAACTTCTAACCTCTTAGTTATTTATAAGTTTTTATAAATAGCTCTTTCAAATTAGAACACAGCAATTATAGCAATGCACGCAGCATGCTGCTAAAATGATTGTGTGTGGTTGTCCAAAAGTGGCGGCGTAGTATAATCTGTCTTCCTATAAGTTTCGTAGATTTTGTAAAATTTTTCATTTTTGTAATTTGGATTAACTCATACTAGTTTCACAATATTTTGCAAAAATCAAGAAAAAGTGACCATGTGGTCACTTTTTAGCATACATGGCTATAGCTCCACGGCTCCTAGGTTTTAATAATCCATCAACGTTTGGGTAACACAAATTATCGAATTTCGGATTGTACCCCATTTGTCTGATTGCTTCGTATTATACTGCATAAGTATGTCATCCGGCTCTAGTGCAGGTGCCTGTGTGCTAGCGCATACGTTTGGTATTGTAAAAATAAAAAAGAATTCGCACTTGCAGAAAAAAATATCACATCACTATTACACCATTAGACGGCTCCGTGGCGCAGTGGCTTAGCAATGAGTTGCAACGCAGGGGGCCGTGGGTTTGAATCCCGCACGGAACAACTACTTGTATGGCCTATAAATAATTGTTTCGGGGTCTGGATTTTTTTTATAGGATAAGGGTGACAAACGAGCACACAGTCCACCTGATGATAAGTGGTTGCTGAAAAAAATTTGGCGCTTAAACTTATTACTTCATATTTAAGTAACAGAACTCAAAAAGTCGTCATTAATGGTAAATGTTCCTCCGGATCGGTAGTATCAATGGGCGTTCCTCAGGGCTCGATTCTTGGCCCATTCCTGTTCTTAATCTATATTAATGACTTACCTTATCTTGTAGGGGACAATCACGATATAGTATTATTTGCTGACGATACCTCTTTAATTTTCAAACTGAAACGGCAGTCAATTAAATATGACGATGTAAATAATGCTCTATCGAAACTAGTACATTGGTTTAACGCCAACAATTTGCTCTTAAACGGCAATAAGACAAAATGTATTAAATTTACAATACCTAATGTAAAACATTCGAAAACCAATGTGCTCTTAAATGGGGAGGAGTTGAGTCTTGTGGATACCACTGTTTTTCTCGGTATTACTATTGACGCGAAACTTCAATGGGGCCCCCATATATCTAAATTAGCAAGCAGACTTAGTTCTGCAGCATATGCTGTAAGAAAGATTAGAAGTCTCACAGATGTTGAGACAGCTAGGTTAGTGTATTTTAGTTACTTTCATAGCGTAATGTCTTATGGAATTTTGCTATGGGGTAATGCGACTGATATTGAAGCTATATTTGTTTTGCAAAAGAGAGCCGTACGGGCGATTTATAATCTAAATTGTAAAGAGTCCCTTAGAGAAAAATTTAAAGAAATAAACATATTAACTTTGGCATCGCAATATATTTATGAAAATGTAATGTATGTACATAAAAACATAAATAGCTTTAATAAGAATAAGGATGTTCATACCTTAAACACTAGGAACAAACATAAGCTTGTAATGCCACTTACAAGACTCCACAGAATTAGTAATTCATTTATGGGGCAATGTATACGCTTTTACAACAGAATCCCAGAACATGTTCAAAGTTTGTCAATAAACAAGTTTAAAAGTTTTATTAAAGAAAAACTGTACAAAAAGGGTTATTATAATATCAAGGAATACATGAGTGAAAATAACCCCTGGGAATAAGGTGATCGCCACCATGCTGGTTCTATGAAAATTCATTTAAAATTGTATAATCAAAATTATTGTTAAGTGAAATTATGTTAAAAAAAAAGTCCCGCTGGGTTTCTTGCTGGTTCTTCCCAGGACAGAGGTATTTTCCGAACCAGTGGTAAATAAAATAATGACTTTCAATAAGTATTATGTAATAATCCATATTGAATAAAAATCATTAAATAAATAAAAATAAATAAATAAATAAATGTGGCCCATAAACATCTACATCTATCTTCAAAGCAAAAAAGAGTCCCCGGTTCTCCACACTCACCAAACGAAACACAGCAGCGTTAAACTGCTATTTCACGCTGGTATTCTGTGAGAGCGTGGTCCTTCCCCGGTCGAGCCGACCCATTCGTGCTACAACTATACTACTAATAGCTGCAGCATGCCTCTACTACGTTTAGAAATGGATGATTGTCCTTGTGCAATTTATGTTTGTAAACTGCCTCCACGGTACAGGAGAATATCCTAGTGTGGGGGTAACGTTTTTTTAAAATAAGAATAGAATAAAAAAAAATTACATTCATACGAACCAATAATTTTTAATCACTAGAATCTAGAACTTATCGATTGTTTTAAAAAATTTGTCGCCATAAAATCGTTTCTTATCTACTGTGTTCATTCTTATTGCATGGTGTGCTATAATAAATAAAAAAAAACAAATTGATAAATTAAATAATAATAAAAATATATCATACAGGTAAACGAATGGCGGCGACAATACCCACACGTGAGCATCAAGAGATCGTTCCAGTCCGCCAATATGAGTGCGGTGCCTAGCCCCCTGTTCTTAGCTCCCAGTCTTGAATGATATAGACTTTTCTTGTGGCTAGTACTTAAAGTGAGAGAGTCAAGAAGAAGCTACAGGAAGAGACGTCTGGCCCAAGATGGGTAAAAATTCTTTGTGTAAAGTTTAATGGAACATTATGGGGCAGATAATCAGAAATATATGACATTAGTTTTATTGATTTTTGAACTCGCAATAGAGATTTAAAATACTTATTGATTTTCACAAACTTAATATTTATATGAACTTGATTATAAATAATATTCTACTTAAATAAAATTGAACGAATAAGGTAGTGACACCAACATTAAAAATAACTAAGTTAACATTTTATCGGTTTTCGTTTTAAGTTAAAATTTTAATTTTCACAGTAGTATTGTAACTTGTACAGAGCATAATATGCAATACACATATTTATTTGACTGCAAGAAACTACAACATATGATTTACTCGTATAGCCATACAATTTCCATAGCCCACATTCATTATGAGAATGTGTAAAAGACATGCTTGTTAACCACCCTATTGTATATGGAAACATTATAGTACAGTCTAACTACTACTAACAGTCGGTCATCGAAGGTGTCTAGACGGGGCAATCGTGCGTTGAGACGCGGGCGTAATGTTCCCGAGCGGCTGTTAGTAGCTCGGAAACTGTGCGCTAGGGTTGTCCTGTCACGCAAATAAATTAAAATGGTTCACACTACATGTGCGGTAAAAACTGTGAGTCGTCCTCATTTAAAGATAGGAAATTAGTTTCATCAGTTTCCGCATACATAGTAATTTGTTAAACGAGAAATAAAAGAGTTTTATTTTTATTTTTTTATTACTTACCGTTCTGACAACCCTAACCATTTATTGTTTATGTCGGCTTTTCCGACAACATCAAACGCGATGACTGATTGTATGTTCTTCTTAGGCTGCGATTATAGTCAGTATTATTTTAGTGTATTTTAAAAGCACTTACATTAATTTAAGTAATTTTGTCAATGACTTTAGTGTACTATGATATTTGTGGAAAAAAATAATAATATTAAGAAATCAAAAATTCGAGCAATATGGTTTAGAATAACCACGCACAAAATAAAAGACTGTATTTCTGTCCAATGGACTTGTAAAATGATTATACTAATATCCAAGTAAAAATAGTTAAGACCTACAACGGATAATTCGAAAGTTACAGCAGTTAGTCGGATAATTCTCGCTGTCCCCACTACATCTGAAATGTGTCAGTGTATTTAACATTTCAATGTGTGTTTAAATTTAAATAGATCACTTTTTATATGCTTATAGGTAAGGATGACTAATAACATATATTTTGTGTAAAGAACTAGTTTTAGAACGAAACGACTGCCATTCATCCAGTATATCTATTTTTTCTGATGGGTGGTTCGAAGCGGTAGTAATATAAGCTACATAGTCAGGAACTACGGTCGTATGTAGCTTCGGAATCAATATAAGAGAAAGTTCTAGCTGTTGATTGCACAAAACTGCGAGTGTAAAATACTAGAAAACTGAATACATTTTTTGAAAAGTTATAAATCATCAGTGTGTATTTTCTCAATTTTGGTGAAAAATATTTGCAATTAAAAAATTACATCCAATATACGTCCCAACGCTGGATGCAGATCTCTCATTTCCGAGAGGGTATAAAGCGAAAAATCCGCTTTGATGTCGACGGACTTAACATGTCCGCGAAATATTTTATATTTCGCACATTTTCTTTTATAGGATAGGGTGACAAACGAGCACACAGTCCACCCGATGGTAAGTGGTTGCTGTGACCCATAGACATATACATATATCCGCAATAAAGAATCAAAATGCAGGTTACCTTATGATGTTTTCCTACGTCACAAGGTTCAGCAGCACTAAAAATTGCTATTAAAGATTTCATTGGTGCCGCTGGGGATCGAGCTTGCGTACTGTATATATATGATACTGTATATATGATAAGCGCTTAGCCTCGATTTACAATGGCTCTACTTGCAGTCTTTTGTCCCAAATATGTTCCATATTATATGAAAGAAATTAAAAATTTTGGCTTTAATATTGAATAAAGTTAATAATTAGATAATAAAGTATAAGTGAAATACTACTGTAAGACTGATTTAACTTTAGGGTTTTACTATGAAACTCATTTTTGATCTACTATCAGTGCCTATAAATTTTGGAGATGATGTTTGCTTTAATGAAAATATATTTTGCTGTCTCTAAAATAACCTTAGAGCTAGTAAATGGGGTGCATACGTTAAATTTTTGACAAAATTCTTTTAAGTAGGTAACTTATTAATATTTATAGTATGTAAGATAAAACAATATAAGTTTGTATGCGCAAACGAAAGTACTGATCTGTAAAGTGTTATTAATGATTTTTATGGCTTAGTATATTTTATTATAAATCTTTTTAATGTTTTTAATTTCGTAGAGTTAATTTCAAAATTTAAAAGACAGCTCTATTGTAATTCAATTTGTGCAAGAAAATCAATTCACTTTCATGTTTTATTATATTTATTTACTAGTGACCCGCCCCGGCTTCGCACCGGTTATTTCTGGATCTCGATAGCAGCGCCACCTACTTGGTCCAATTTTGAATCTAAACCATCCAAACCCACTCAAACGCACATAAAAGAAATCATCAAAATCGTTCGAGCCGTTTTCGAGTTTTTATATACAGGTTTATTTTTCAAAGAGTAGCCAAATTTTAAACTTAAGTTCAAATATATAAATTCTTCTGACTTCTACTTTTATTCGAAATTATCCCAAATTGAATGTGATTTATGGGCAAAAACTTCGCGTACGCGTGCTCCTCTGTGTGCGATTCTATTCATAACGTTTTTGCCGACTGATCGACCTTCACGTACGTGTGCGTGCGTAGTAAAATAGACAATACATTAGTATAATGTATATAGATTTACATTATGACAATCAGTTAAAATAACGAAATACCAGGCATTTTTAATTTAAAAGATAAAAAGGACAGGATGTTTGAGATTTTTTTTAAATTAATTTTTCTTTATTACTTATTCTGAACTTTCTCTGAAAATTCTGTCCGTTAAGGCAAAATAACCCTGTTTAGAGATTATTAAATTAAACTGCTTTTATCAACTGATCGTTGTAGTGAAGTTGGCATCACAATTAAAGAAATTTTTATATATAATTAACGCTAGATATGAAATATTTGACGCAGTATCCAATAATAGTAATTTCGTCGATTAGTCAATTAGACTAAGGCACTCAATGATTGATGGATTGCAGATTATAAATTACGATAAACAACGCGATGTACTTTTTATTTATAATATAATTTGCCGCACAGCTGATTATGAATTAATTTCATTTACATTTTAGTACTTCAAGAGCTATTTTTAATGTTCAAATGTTTGTTCTTTAGTCAATTATCAACACTGTAATATTATGCCAATGTACAATAATGGCTAGTTGAGTCCTTGTATCGACCTTGTGACATGTCAAACATCCAAGTCAGCCTTAGGGTTGTATTGGCTCCCCATAAGCATGTCAACTCTCACCGAACATGACTACTTGATTCGATTAAAATTGTATGTATAATACGCCTAGGCTTACTTGTAGTACTAGCGAGGAACACGCTCACATTAACAAATGATGCAGGTGTCGTCATGTGCCAATGTGTAGGGGTGGGCGTTGCGACAACGAACCGATTACAAATACCGTTTTTTTGTTCTGCGACAAAAAACCGTTTTACGTCCTGGGTTCAAACAGTCTTCGTTGCACAAACCAGTCTTCGAATTACTTGGTGCGATTTTTTATTTTATAAATCAAATTATCAAAATACAGTTGAGAACACAACGATTCAACTATCTATCTCACTCGTCGCGTCGTCGTACTTAACGCTCCGAGTTCGTTTTAAAACCGTAAACAGAGAAAAAGCAGTCCTTACCTTAGTTGTAAGAAACTGCAACCATTTTGCTCGACGAAAACGCAATTGCGTGTGCTCGCTCGTTTGTAACTGACCGCTGTGTGCCCGCTCGTCTGTAACTGACCGCTGTGTGCTTGCTCGTTTGTAACTGACCGCTCCGTCGGACATGCACACTGCCGCAACGTGCACGTACACTATTAATAAAGCGCACGCGACATGCTCAACGGGAATTAACAAATATTAATAGAAAAACGTCACAAAATCGCTGAGATAGGGGTGGGGTTCCGCCTACTCAAGTACCGCCTTTGATATATTATAGTATAAGATATCTGTGTTTATTATATAATAAATACTATAGGTTATCTTTAGTATCGCCGTGCATCGAATTGTATATATTCTGTATTGTATTATTATTACTTCAAAATTCTGTATTACTTCAAAATTATTTGACCTATCGTTATAGGAAATCTTTATTATATTATACAGGGTTATTTTTCAAAGATTTGCCAAATATTAATTTGTAAATACGAGTAAATAAAGCTTCTATTTTTATTTTAAATTATCCGAAATTGAATGTGATTTATAGGCATCAACGTACTTGCCTACCGATTGCGTGTGCGGCAAAATCCGTTAAAATAATGCATTACAAAAAGGACAGAATGTTTGAGATTTTTTTAATTAATTCTTCTTCACCATTTGCCTATATTACTTATTCTGAACCCTCTGCAAATTTGGCCGGTTATTGCAAAATAACACTGTATAGAAAAACTGCAGCATTAATAGTGACCATGACTTTCAATATTAAATAATTTAGGATAATATAAAGTATATAAGGAAAATAATTTCATTAATAACAGACTACTTCTCATACAATTATTTTAAATAACTTAAGGTTAATCATAAAGTACCTAACAATATACTATGAACATGTAAGAAGATAAATTATATACAATTATAACAAGCGTAATGTGTATTCTTATTTTCATTCTATTTTTAAATAGATAAATATTGATATGATGTCATTTCTTGCATGTTATTCAGTTAATTCGAAATAATAAAAAATGCAAGGCATGTGATTCTGTTGAAATTTATATCTAATATTCTCCATGATACAGAAGTTAACCAC